GTATTATCATCAGGCCCTCCTCGAATTTCCAACAGAGTATCGCGTGTGTCTGGTGTACAGTAATGGACCCACTGAAGGAAACTCACGAGTATACGTCCAGCAGTTCACATTAGTCGTTTCAATGGTTCTATATAATGACGGCACCAGATAATAAACATTTAGATATGTTTGTGTAGGAGAAGCAATGTCGCATGTGTGTTCACCCGGCAGCTTACCGTCATAGGGAGACCTTGCATGATTGGCTGATCTGGTAGGTTAGATTCACCCGCGAATGTTGCTGTACATAATGCCGAACTCGACGCCTCTGGCATCACTTGGTGCGACACTCAAGCCACAGGCGAACAACCTGCGACAGTTTGTAACTACTTTCGTCTAATACCTATCACTACAACTCGCTCAGTTTATAGGCCTATCTAGCAAAATATATCTATGCATCTTCATTTCCACAAGAGAATTGTTTAAGACCTTTATCCCGGCGAAACGAAAGCACAGCGCGAACAGTGTTTAAGGCCGGTGGCCCTTACAGTGGAAGGGTTAGTGTCATAATTGTTGTCCTTTGATTACACCGCGTCTTGCGTCAAACGCTTTTGGCCACGTAAGTCAAGTCAAAGTAAGCTTTATGTACCCGGATGGGTACATTTTCAGCACTTTACGATATCAACCGCGAATGAAGCAAAATGACATCATCATCAAACTTGCAAAATTGTATAAATGAGTAAATAAAAGGGAAGAATGTATTGATGTCGCTCGAGTAAACATATCCGCATTCTTGGGCACTAAACACAAATTGCTAAAAAGACACCTCGGGTTATTCGCATCGGAGAAAGCAGTTATACGAAGACAGTTCTTCAGGACTGGTTTCAACCGGACTAAACGTTCCTGACCAAAAGCAACAACTCGCGAATAGTACGTGGTATCTTGGAAGCAATGCGGACAAAAGAGATGTCAAAATATTCCTTCAAAACTTATACATTCGCAGCAGCTAAAGCAGAAATGATGTTCAAGGCAGAGGCAACGGCCGATTTAAAAGCCCAGCCAAATAATCTAGTTAGTTATTTGCGCTACCGCGAAGCAGCTACGTGTATGTTTCGGCCAGTGAGTGTAAGTACTTCACCGTGACAGTTACTAGAGTGTAAGCGTGCTACGTATGCACATTCAACCATGAAGAGTGAATGCTGGTATGTTCTCGAAACCGGGTGCCATGCACCTTTTGAACTAGTCTCACCGGTTGCACTGCTTGCAATCCTGTGCAAAACTACGAAGAATGTATGCTCTCTATGAGCCACTATCAGTCTTCATAGAGTTGTGTGGACAGTACGACATTCGTTATCTGACTGAACTCACTCGATACGTTGGCCAGAACCGCCGTAGGGAAGCAAGAGTCAACCGAAATTAAGTATAGCCTACTCAGAACGCAGTAGCCATTGGTTCCGAAGCCTGCATGGTTAGAGTTTACTTGCTTGATCACAAAAGTTTCGAATCATGTTGAGTCTGTCGGATGCATTGTGAAGTGTCACAAGGAGATCTTGATCACTCTTATCCTTTCAATTCACCCATTCCTGTGGTGCGTGGGGCAATTATCGTAGCTATAATCGTAGTGCCCATTCGTCTCACCACCTTCACACCGAGTAATAGCTCGACTAACACACTCAAGATTTAAATTCGTACGTAAGCCATTCGGTGCTAAATTTGTAATTATTGCAAGTTCAGCTTTATCTCTTCTCTAATTATCCGTTTTCCTATTCACTAAACAGTCGTCTACTCTGTACTTAGACGATGGGGCGAGACGAGAATACCTTTACTCAAAGGCACTATAGTAAATACATCTGATGCGTGTGTTACAGTGAAATTCCAGCCCTGGAACGAATCTAACCGCAACCACATTCGGGATGCCACATTTTGCTTCTACGCACAGGACAAACTAGGCACAGTTTTGTTCAGCTGAAACACTCAAGCGGGCGCGCCGAATGACCACGAAGGATGGCCGATCTACCGCGTTAGTGTTGCTCTTACCTAATCGAGCAGGTGGTCTCTCGCAGGGTGAGTAATTCCCCGAATTCGTTACGCTGACATGAACCCCTGTGTCGGAGTTCAGTGAGATCGTGATAACGATCTGCAATGTCATCAGAACGTGCGCCAGGTGTGTCTCACTAGGAGACCCAGGACGGAGTATTTCACGAGCATCAGGGTCACATAAAACACACACACACACAGAGACAAGTAGATAGGCTTTGTCACGGCTTAACTAGCTCTGTCACACAGTCGTTTTATCACTGGAACCTCTGCTGACTGTGTGCAATCAGAGTAACGACCACTGAGACAGGGTTGTTGCCGGCAAGTGTTTGGCAAATCATACCAAACAACTGTGTTTTGGATAAGGGAAAGATTCCAGAACATTGCTTACTACAGATCACATCATGTATTACAGGTTATTGGTTTCTGGCAAACCAACACATTTGCGAGAGTTCAAACGCATTCTGGTGCCGCCCTTCACATAAAGGTTAAGGTGTAACCTACTGGATATCAAGTATTACCACATGACCAAAGTGAGGCCAAAAGGTTGGTAATCACGGTAGCGGTTCACGGTGTCAGCTTGTGTCACGGTAGGTTTCCATCCCGGGCATGCTCAGGAGACTATAACAGATTTTGACAAATTTATGAAGTGGATCACGGCACATTTTTGCAGCCCCCACAGTAATTCCTTACTGGCGTTTTTTCAGTGGCATTTGAATTGACTTTATGAGTCATCACCTTTAAGTATATAGAGTGACACACTCCTTGCCGTGACCACAACTAATCCGCTACCTCCTGTAGGTGGGCTTGCAATTCTGTGCCATCGCTGAAATATTATTAAATCTTCATAGCTGTCTAAACCGCTAAGCAGGAGATATGAGACAATGGTAGTTCATAGTTATCGGGGGCTCGAAATTGCGAACGTCATCAGTGCACGGTAGCTCCGGTACGGAGTATCAGTGACAATTGCCATTATCTGTCAGCTCGCTTCTTTACCTCTGGTCGTCATAGGCTATAATGCTCACTTTTCAGTTTTACCTTTACTTGACTTTGGTAGTCATTGTGAATGTTACCTGCTCTACAACTCTTTACGGGTCTTGCAAACAAATGACGGGGGCTTTTCAAACAGACAGTATTCATTGAAGAAACTGCTTAATAACTTGTACTTAGAATGACACTGCGATGGGCGCTGAAACACTTGTCATTAAAGTGCTCAGCTAGACTATGGAATCAGAATTTCAGCACCTAACGCTTGCTTACTGTAAGCATTTTCGCTTTTACTGCAGTGTCACTTTGTTACTCCGTTTTCAGCACAAGATTTTTACACTGTGTTCAAACGATGATACCAACAAATGGTAGATGAGCGGTTAGGGTTACCTATCTATAATGAGAAAATTGTTGAAATGTATTCCATAACCGTCGTGCGGGGTAAAATAATATTTCTTACATTCAATGAGCATACACACACCTTCGAAATTCTCAGGAGGTTAGCAGCACAAGATAACACCGCTCCATTGGATTAATCGCTCGGGCTGATGACGCGCTATCAGCAAAAATCGCCACAATCCCCTAAACCAGCCATCACATCGCTGTGTGCGCGAGTGCAACATGTTCAGTGTCGACTGCGTCATGTCGGATGGCCGAACATGCGGGTTTCCATCGTTCAATCGGATGTTCATCCCTCATCCCTCTGTAGCTGCCCCATCACACTGCGTCACGCTTTGAACACGATTGGTAGGGGTTCAGTTTTGCTACAACCCACCCATCGTCTGCACGGTTATGTTCAACGGAATCTGCTCAAGGGGAACTGCATAACCCGCCTCGTTTGAGGTTAACTTTTGATCATGATAACTGGAATCAGCGGTTTGAAGCCATTTAGGTTTGGAGCGTAATTGGGCGGCTTCTGTGTTTGCATGACAATTGTCAAACTACAACTGCTTAATGGTGAAAGCAGCTATAGCGAATTAGTAATAAGACAGTGATATTTTTGACAAATGAAACAGGATGTAAGTAAATAAACCCTTACAATGGCCTTATGGATTCCTAGCAAGGATGCTTACTCTACTTGACGAGTCTCAGATACGGTGACATGCATTAGTTTTCGGAGCACCAACTTTCCTCGTGGTTTTATGAGGAGTCGAGTAGGGGGGATGGAAACGATGTGACAAGCCCAAACGTGATCGATTGACTCCACCAAATACAGCCTAACACCAAGCAGTGCAAAAGTTGCAGGCGTTGATTACCATGACAACGCGCTGTGGCTAGATTAAACGACCGAGATATTGGTGACACGCATCTGAAACGGAATGGTGTGAACTGTCGGATTGTTGCATACTATAAAACACGTTTAGTGGATCGTGTTTTGGACATCAGTGTCGATAAGGTTGTCAATAAACCAATACAGAGCGATGAGCTCTTATGCATGCATGAGCATCGAATCATTTTGAGCATGCCATGGTAACTGATACGCCACATCTCGCTTAGTTGGATCCATGTTACCTTCCACCCACTTAACTGTTCTAAAAAGCATTTTAACTCATCCTGATAGAAAAAGACATGGACACACGCAGACACAATCAGTGGTCATAATTACCACTTGCAAAAGATAATTAAGGTGTCGCCAGATTCCACATCCCACGTCCACTTTGTAGATATGTAAAAAGCTTATGGTAGTCCACCTTTTCCCTGGGGATAAGGCAACCACCACTGCCTCCCGAGTCGGATCATTCACAACTCGTGGAAAGTGTGTAGGGGAGAGATCATCTATCCGAATAACGACGTAAAATGTGGTCCCACCTCATTTGACACCGCAGCCCTCCTTCAAGTGATGGTATCGGTGAGCTTCACACCTTGCCAAGCCTTGCGTGCACAGTGGACGCAATGGAGCCAGAGCAAATTAAGGGTTTCGTTAGACATCATTCTTTGGTGAATTCGCTTTCTATCGGTTTCGTGTCACTAACATACATATTATTCTATTAACTTCCTAGGATGCTACCAATGGCCACTATTCCACCGGTGTCAGCTCACGTATCTCGTATCCAAACGGACTCCGGCTGGCCTTTCGGAAGATGCCCCTCTATCGGACATGAGTTTAGTGCTTACAACTCTTTCACCTCTAACTCGACAATGGGTGAACAGCCATCACACTTGTATGGGGCATCAAATTTACTCATCAGCTCCGGTTATCCCAACTCGTATCAACAAAGTTTAGCTCAGGTGTATCAAAACTACCAACAACATCAGCTACATCAGCAACTAAGCTTGGATAGTTACCGTTTGGGTATTGTGGCCACAGATGACAGAGGAAAACTCTCCTTTAACTCCCCGGATCCCACACCTACAGCAGCTAATGGTGAAGGGACGAAATCAGATCCAGACCAGGAAGAACCGAAAGCTCGACTGAACCTGCTTCAGTTGGCACGATTATCGGCGGAAACTTGCAGTGACGCACAGTTACGGCGAGCTCCTGTCGGACTACACTGGGCAGGCGGTGAGATACGGAAACATGGCAACATGGGCTGCCCAAGTCCGAAGCCCAGTGAGTTGGAGTCGGGTGGAGTGCGATCTAAACAAGCTAGTTCACCGCGTGATGCCGCGTGCAGGCCATCGAAAATGCCCCCCAACTTCGACTCTGCATATGCGCATCCACAAGGGTCGTCATCTATTCATGCCAACGAAAGTAGTGGATCTAGTTTTTCACGGGATCTACGAGACTATTCCCTTAGTATTCCTGGCACCGCCGATCGGAGAAAGGGAACAAGCAGGCTCAGCCCCCAGCAAATGAAAGAGTCTTACGATGCACCGAATAACCCAAGTATACACATATCTTCCTTACAGCAACAGCAACAGCAACAACCTCCCTTCCGCTCCCCACTCCACCAAAACTATCTCAACCCGAATCAGGTGATCTCCCAATACGACCAACAACCACATTCCAAAACCTTTGACGCTTTTCAAATGGGCGTTGTATCTCACTGCAACCCTCATCCAGGCGCCTGTTCGGACAACCGATGCCCACAAGGAGAGCAGCAGTTATATTCGGCGCTGTCAAATAGTAATGACAATTTTTCGCAATCACATTCGCCTCCATTCAACCCTATATTTCAAAATGCCACACAATGGAGCAGTGGGTTTGTTTATCCCCAGTGTTTAACATCTCAGCAGTTAGCCTCATTCTATGCATCAGTCAATCCCGCGCCAGTAGATTCCAGAGTACGCTCTGACGTCGACTTGGCGGATGTTGGTCAACCGTCCACGGCACCACACCACTCCGACGCAGAAGCTTCCGCTGCCTCTTATATACTAGCGACGCAACGCAGAGGTACCCGATGTAGACGAGAGGAGCATTTAGCCTTGCCATTATCAAATTCCCTCATAGCTGAACACGGAAGGATTTTGCGGCGGCAGAATCCTACATGCCAAGGGAGTGGTGGCTTCACAATAATGGACAAACCGGACATGGATGTAGATGGAGCTGTAATTTGCTCAGCTGCCAATTCGGTGAACCGTTCGATGGATGACTTCATGTCTGTGAGCGCAGCTTACCACTCAGCAGCTGCGATGGCTGCTGCTGCCGTGGTGGCGCAGGCGGCTGTGGCCACCGCAAGCGCCGTGGGGCATTCGCAACACCACCACCCTTCTGCAAACCTGTTTCGTTCGAATGTACCTCCACCGAGCCCAGCGCAAGCCATACACTTGGAGCGGAGCCATCCAATGGGTATTCTCCCTATGCTGAACAATGTCGCTGGTGTATCCAACATCACCAACTCGAATAGCTCAAAATCGATGAAGAACAAGAAACTAATTTCTACGGGTAAGTGGTTTCTTGCTATGCAGTGCATTCGGCTAGGCCACCGTCATCAGTGACCTATAGTAACTATAACGTTTGGGTGGTTTCATCCACAAGCGAACCATTTAAAAATGTACGGCACTCACAAAGCGATACAATATAAAAAATGTGCGTCTACTTTGTATAAACAGCTGCTCGCGATGATGGCGCAAACATACTCCTTTGAATAGAGAAGCTCAGTCTCACAACCTCGATACTTTAATCAATAGCTACCCAATGACTGACTCTGGATTAAGCATTCTGAGGACTAAACTAGACGCAAATCACTCCCATGAAGTGATTTAGCTGCAAATTGACTTCTGAACTTTAGGCAGAACATAAATGGTTCAGTGGAGAAATCCTTTCTATAAAAAGAAGAGCAGTAACATTTTGATCACGGAAAACAGAGCCTTACAAGGTCATAAATAAACAGTGCCCGTACTCACATTGACAAGCTGACTGTTCACCACTCTCGACTAGTTTTGTGCGTTAATTTTGCTCAACACCTACTCGATTGGTGTTTATGATAAACTGCTTTGCTTTTACTGTGCTAAACTGAAGCGAAACATTGAGTTAAAAGCTGCATAACTCTGCTGCCAATGCTCTGGCGCCATTTACGATCACACATTTTGATGCAACTGTAATGTTTGCTTTGATATCTTGCAGAAGGTCGAGAGTGTGTAAACTGCGGAGCCACAAGCACTCCCCTTTGGCGAAGAGATGGGCAGGGAAATTACCTGTGCAACGCATGTGGATTGTATCAGAAGATGAATGGTCAAAACCGGCCACTAATCAAGCCGAAGCGGCGCCTGGTAAGCAGTTTGTGACCTGGACGTGTGTGGTACACTCTGTAACTAGCCAGGCATTTTATGTGCTATCTCCCTCTGTACAGCACAATTCGGTCGCTACCATATTTTCCTTACGTATTGGTCAGCTGTTAAACAGCAACAGCAAGTAACACGATGAAGGAACGCTTAGGAATCAATGATCATCTTAACTAGTTTTCGAAGCTTCCTTAGCATTTTCAGTTGATATGTGCTTTGTGTGGTTATCTAGGGCAGATGCTGGCAAGAGCAGATGGAAAGCAATGCCAGGTACAAATCTCACAGCGCATAGATCGATTACTCCGACTGTGACAGATGTTCATCAGGTCCTCTGGGAACACTTCGGACTTACAACGTCAAAAACTGTCCGCAGGACGGCAACTAAGAGAATGGCAATAAACACACACCTACAGACAGAGAAGCATGCGTTGGCTGGATATGCCACTGCAGGTTGTTTTAAGCATTGGTCTCAAAGTAAACTTAGGTAATGCAAAAGCAAACCCGCAGAGTGCGCACACCTAGACGAGGGCATAGGAAATTTGCGCGGACGGTTGCAGTTGAAACCGCGTGGCTGCGTGATGTGTCTGACGGTGCCGTCTCTGGTTTGAAATTGGTCCTGATAGCAACGTGCGGTTGCACTTCTGATCGGGGAACAATTGGGACACGAACGCAAATTCCAAAACTACGATTAACACCCATCAGCTAGAACCTCTTTTAGAAGGAGAAGCTAGCTAAGCTAAGTTTTCGTGAGGACCATTTTTTAACGAGCTTGGGGCACTTGGCATAAGGGCCCATCGATAGACATTTGTAACGCCTGTCATTAAAGCTAGATCTGGGATAACACTGGCAAATTTTGTCCCAGCCAGTTCAAGTGATAAGCGAATACCTCACGAAGTAATATTGGGCACATATATCGAGAATTGTCCTTTCTTGCAAGTGCCATGAACTGAAAGGGGAAGCACTTCGCCTATGTAAACTGAATGTTATGGGTGGAGGTTGGTCTACTCATGGAGGAAAAATTGACGGTGTCTCAATGTGAACCACGTGAATCTAGTGCATCAGCTTACGCCCTATCATTTTTTTGCTATCTGTACTCTTTCCAAAGGTTCTGTTATTCAGAATCTAGCACACCAGTTGTCTTGACGCTATGATGAGCGTCCCTGCGATCGCCACATGGTTTACCAACTCACTCGTGAACGGGGTTCACCGCCGCCTAACTTGTGTTTAAACCGGACGCAGTACACTTCACTCGCTGGATGCGCCCTCGAACGAATTCATCTTGCGGATGCCCACATAGCACGAGGAGTACGCATGGTTTCAATGGGTTACTAACCTCACTGTATATTGAGCGTAAAACACTTTCCAGATGAATGAAGCCACCTTATGGTAGTAGCCTCCTAGGTTATTGTCAGCGGCTAAAGTGGATCCAATAATAAATCACTATACTGAAGAACTCCAATAGCAAGCAACAGCTGTCCAAGTGCGTTTCCATTGTGTGCCAACGCTCTGAGTGAGTCCATACGCTATGCATCGACCTGGACTCCCCCGCATATCCACCTTAGAGCGTGCAGGATAAGTTTGTCTGCCAGTCTATGATATGCACGCATGAACGACCTGAAGCCGAGTTGATGTGTGCTGACGGTTCGTATCCAAGACATTCAACCCCGCCTCCGAAGAATATTGCGTCACGAGGAGCAGTTCCTGCACGCCTTCGGACCCACTTTTAGGCCTTCGATCTGTCAACTTCTATGGTGTTCAACACAACGTAGGGTCTAAAGCTCAAACAGCATTGACAGGTCGTGACGTGCTCATGGATAAGGAAAACGAAACGCACTGAAATACTATATTACTTCCAGTGGTTGCCACCGCCATCTGCTGCGATTATGTCCGCCAGTCAGATTTTATCAATCGACGTCAACAAGTCAGCGTAGCATAGATATTGTGTTGTCTCTCAATACCCAATGAGGCAGAATAATATGTTGTGCTATCACATGTGTAGTGGTGAGCATCGAACCGAATACTTTGTCCAAATCATCTTTCCCCCTCCACTCACTGTTCCAGCAATCCTCAAGCCGTCGAACGGGCACTGTGTGCTCCAACTGCCGCACAGTGACGACCACACTATGGCGGCGGAACACAAACGGCGAGCCAGTGTGCAACGCCTGCGGGCTCTATTTCAAATTACACAACGTGAGTATTTTCGTGCTATGAGAACGCCGCGCATCTGATGGCCCACCGTATCACGTGCAGTGAGAATCTGGTGGACCTGAAGCTGTGAGAGGCTGTGCAGAATAGCTCTTGGGTTGTTTTTTTCCCATGCTGTTTTCACTGTCAATTTAACTGATCTGATTATTGTATGAAAGTGTGTATCCCTGCAGTACAGGGTGTTGTAGAAGTTGAATCAAAGAGAATTTTTTCTGCAGTACACCGATAAAACCACGTTAGTCATTACAAGTGGGTCACTGTAGTTTGGCCTACTCATCAGCCGACTGAAAAGCAAGCGTCCAAACTTCATTGCTGCCTTTTCACCATCAATTTAGCTTACTGCGTATGCCTGTGTACTTCTTTTTGTAGGCAGCATTGAAACAGTCCGTGCAACACTCCCTCGCTGGCATGATATCGCTAAATCATTTGCGCGTACTCCACCAGGTGCCCCGGCTCTTTTGCACGTTAACTCGGGGGAATGCGCGTACAGTACAGCTTGGAGTTGACACGGACCCAGTTTGATTGACTGCCTTACTATAGTGGATGTCAACGATGGAAAGAGCACTACTACTACTCACATACGCACACAGTTGTGCTCAAGACCTGATGTGGGGTTGATACCGTTAACCGGAGCCAATGCACATCCATATCAGTTTTCATGAGTGCAGTCGACTTCAATGACACGGAGGGGGAATGTTGTAGATACATGGAGGTGTCCCTTTCGCATCGATACTGTGGAGGCGACCAATGGCACACACACACACACACACACACACCGACACACACACGCACAGATTAAAACACACATCCTCAAGTTAATCGCGTAAATTAGCTGATGGGATGGTTAATTTGTTTGAGACAGGTTGACCGTGAGTCGGCGGCACGCCCTACTGGCGCCATCCGCCGGTGTTACTGGATTTACCATGGGATGAGGGGGAGCCAGTGTCGACAGCTGCGACATCATGTGAGGAGTGAGCAAAGACGCACCTCCGGTGTGCGTGTGCTTGTGTGCGTTACAGCTTTCCCCTCTGATGAGCGACTAGGCGCCCTAAAATTTGTTTTTTACTGAATACTATGCTCAATACCGATGCATCAAATCGGTGTCGTATCAAGCAGTGTCCGAACCTTGAGCATGCTGCAGGTCGCCGTCAGACCTTTTGCTCCGATTTTGCGCAATGCATGCAGTGTACTGTGAAATCTTCAGCCGGACGAGCAGAGACGAACAAAGGTGCTACATAGGATGCATGAACCGCGCATACACGTCAGGTAAGTCGATTAAGTAATGTTCCAATTAATATTATGTACGTGTAGCAGGTATGAATGAAGTAGTGCGGTGTGGCAACATATGCAAGTCAGTAATGTGGCAATGAGCTTACAACCTCGGCGACGGATACAGCACCGTTTTTCTAATCCTATTTTGTTGTACCATAAATGGAGGTGAAGTAAATTGTCCCGTAGCATCCAGTGTGACTTACTAACCTTTGGAGGAAGGGAAGCAGCAGTAGCGCGATTCCAATACGCATACCTTAGTAGACACAGTAAACTGACTTCAGCCTTTTTGGGAGGAAGACAGCTCGAGGTGTTATCATTAGCTGTAAATGACGGAGAATTTTACACTTCCTCAAGGTAAAAACGCGCATTCAGATACAGCACTAAAACCGTAAGTTCAGTGACTGCGATTAACCAGCTAACGGATGTAACATAAGGGACATATCCACAGGACAGCATTTTACGAACGGTTCCACTAACATGGGAAACAGCCCGCTGCCCATAGGAAGTCAGGTAGGTTTTCTTGATGTGCTGTCATGTCAAGTCACACTTATCACCTGGGATCTTACCCTTGAAAACAACCGCCCCAAATTTGTACATCACATCGAGAACCTGATTCCGTGTAGTGACTGGTATGTGGTCTGATTTTAATATGTTCTATTCTCGGGGTACCGTACATGGTGGCACATTCTCGTCTGCATTCTTCATCGCGTCTAGTCAGGGGCGAGTGAGAGTATTCAGCCAATGACAGTTTATGGCGCCATACTCAGACATGAGACCGTCAGAGTCCAAGCAGTTTTCAATGTAAGAGCCAAAGGAGAGAAACTGTAATTGAAAACTGCTACCAGGAACATCAACAGTGGTAAACTTGCTGTCCATTGACCTGCTGATGAAGTATCAAGTGTAAAGCTAGCTTTATCGACAAGGCTGTTATCTTAATCGGATATGTGGAATGTAGGGAAGGGGGTGGTAACGCTAGGCTACTCGCTCTGTTCCCTTAATGGGTTCTTTCGGCTAGCTCACGTATTACAAGTGCAAACTGACAACATTTTCTGGATAGCTATGCTTGCGTTGTCTCTGCACTGCCTTAGTACATTTGTATAGTACCCAGCTGATACTGTGCGCATTTATTCGCTGTCGTGTTTAATGTTGTGTCCACAGTTTAAGCCTGATTACGATGACATCAACGGACTTGTTATCCTGTCTTTAACCATAGATCCAGCGTCCCATTTCGATGAAAAAAGACGGCATCCAAACCAGGAACAGAAAAGTTTCACAGAAGACAAAGAAGCATAAATTCGGCTTTTATTCAGAATTTAATGATTTGAATGTAGATTATCTGATGAAAACGCCACTACAACGGTTCAATGCTGCCGCTGCCGTAGCTGCCAATCGGTTTGCTTATGGGCATTCGGGTCTGGTGTCGTGCTCACCACAATCCACTTTGATGAATGGAGTATACAATTCTGGCTACCAGGGTGAAGGATGTTTACGAAACAACTCTGCAGCACTCATTAACTCCGGGCCATCCGATGGAGATGGAGGGATACGTGATTCCGGACACTTGGTGGGCCCCAATCCCTATGGGGCCCTGAGTGATGAATGCACAAAGCAGCAAGCTGCTTTGTTTGCATTAGCTCAAAGTTCTCCACCGTTTATCGGAGACTCCTGTGGACAGACCTCTCTAATATCGAACATGGCGTTTGGCGAACGTTCGGCACTGAAGTCTGCAAAGTTGGACTTTTCTAGCGAGTATGCAACACTTTCAGGAAGCGTAAAAAACGGCTATCAGTCTGTTGGAGAGCGAAGTTATTCGGTAGAAGAAGGTAGCCAACTTCCTTGCTTCCACAATCCAAACGTGAATGGTCATCCTACCAACACTTCTCACCAGTGGTTGGCAGAACTAAGTCGTTCGTGTCGCTTGCCGGAGTCATCCGCAGGGGGCGACACCGGGTCAACAAGCCCAAACACGCATGGGACCATGTTCTACCCCAATGTGCAAAACGCGTCTCTAACTGACGACGCTTCGCAAGCGCGCTACAGCAGTCATTTGTGCACACAAAAAGTTCGTGTTCTGGGCTCGGATAATGAAGACGAGACATTTATCATGGGACAGAAAGGAAGGGAATGCTGTGCACGTTCGAGACAGTCATCCCCATCGAATGACATGAAAAAGGCTCGCTACGACGGTGGCGTGTATGGGTACCACATGGATCCGAGACCTTCTCGTCTCACTAACCCTGCGGTTCTGATGAGTGAAGTACGTAGTTGCGACAGCAACCATAGCAGTAATGCAGCAAGTAGCGGTACGGACACTCCAAAATCCGTCAATGTATTACCTCCGACTGATCAGAGTAGCCTCGTTTCTCTCCCAAGCGATCCATCAGGACATTCTATTCAGCAGCAGCAACAGACTACGGCATTTATTATGTCGTAAACACCAATGTATGATGCAAGTGGATTCCAACCGCCTGGTTGGCGGAGGCTGTATCCTGTGTACATTCCCCCTTCATCAGACAATGGTTTGCATGACTCAGAACAATACCACGATTCTGGGCCTATGGATGACGTCGGTCCTGAACCGGGTGTATATTCTCTTTGTAGATATCATTCAGAAAAGTGAAACCTTATACATATGAGAGATGGAATTGATTTTTTATGCGTTGTTTAATCTTGTTTTCCTGTTTTCAAGATGAGCCCGAAATTTCCCCACACCAAATGTGATGGAGACTCCGTCTCTTTGGAACATAAACAATGAAGTGGTCGACACCACAGATTTCAACTCAAGGTACAAAAGATACCGAGTATACTGCTGGGCGTATACCCTTATGGCCAGGTATCCCGCCACTTTATGCGAAATGGGGTTTGTTGTCTAAGCACAAGCTATTAACCGTTACTAAGTTGCACAAAACTCACATCGTGTCTGCACTTGAAGAACCCTCCATACCGCCGCGCACTCATTTGGTCAGTTTCTACTTGTTTCCATCCTGTCCTTCGTGGCGAAGAGGTAGAGCAAGTTTGTGTTACCATTTATGGTGCACCATAAGGCATAGTGTCACTTGCGGAAACCTAGAGTTAGTCAAGCCAAGCCAAGTCAACAATGCGCTTTATGCACCCCTGAAGAGTGAATATTCAGCTACAACACACGCCAAAGGCACGAATGAAATCAAATAAAAAATATGACAAATGTATGTAGTGCGCCACCAATTTAAAAATATGGCAGTGCTGATATCATCGATTCAGTCTGGCAATAAGGTCTTGTTTGACTACAGCTTGATCCCGCAGAAAACGTGACAAGTAGGGAACATCTTACGTACCGTAAGCCATTTAGGCTTTGTCCGTTTGTCTGGTCGAAGAAGTCGAGATACATTCCGACAGTGCACAATGGAGAGGGTGACTGGCATCAGTGAGTACTTTGGAAGCCAGTTTTTCACAGGAGCGAACATGCTTGGACACCATGATATTAATAAACACCAGCATAGCAATTCCGCTGCATCGAGCAAGTTGCTTCAACGACCAGTTGATCGTTTTGAGTTGCTCATTTAGGATTCCGGGAAATATCACAGTTGAGCAGTACGTCCAGTGCGCTTTTACGCAAGCGGGGAGAAAACGTAGAATCAAGTAACGAGGCACGGATGTTGACCTAAGTCGGGAGACGTAGAATGTTAGTCTCCTGACTTTAGTGAATGTTTCATTCACGTGGTGCGACCACGTGAGATCCCGGCTTAATATAACCGAGATATTTCTCTACTGTACAGGAGTTTAGACGGACACTGTCAATATTAAGGTGCGGGGTGTGCGTCAGAAGCTGTTAATAACAGTTTTCCTTAGCTAGCGAGAAGATAGCATCTTTACACATTGATGCGCTGAGTGAAAGACAGCGAGATTTGGACCAGGAAGTGAGGTTGTCCAAGAAGCATTGCAAGTTGGCCGGTGAATCTGTGGTGTGATTGTGTACACCGAAAATCACGTCCTCAGCATGCTTTAGTAGGATGGCTTCCTTTGGAGCGGGAACGGAATTCATGTAGAAAATAGGAATGGACACAAAATGGCTCCCTGAAAAACGCCCGAATTTGTGAAGAGTGAGAAAGAGTTTTTCCCCTAATCTTGGTAAACTGCGTACGATTGGCAAAGTAGTCTGTAAGAAAAGATACTATTGGAGGTTGAACTCCGAAAACTAGCAGATCATGTAACAGCAGTTCGCGGTTTACACAACCGAAAGCGTTGCTGTAATCTAGGAAGCACATCTGTGTGGGTTTGTATTTTTTCTGTTGAGTGATGAAAGCACGGTGAGACAGACTAATACATACAAAGTAGACCTTGAACTGCGATAGGCAAACTGAAAACATCGTTCAAGTGGGTTTGGACAAGCATTTTATCAAGTATGATTTGTTCTAATATCTTCAAAGCCACAGATGTACAAGCAATGGGCCGGTACTTACATGTTGCTTTTTGGCACAGGTGTAATGCGGGCGCTTTGCCAGCACTCGGCTATCTTGTGCCGTTGTAGGCATATGATGTAGATTTCAGAAAAAGGCTATGTTAAGACATTTCATATTCCTTGAGGACTATAAGAGATAGTCCGTCTGGACCAGGCGCTTCGCACAACTGTGTCATGTTAATTCCGTGTGAACTATTACAGTCTATGAGTGGTGGAGTTTGCGGCGAGAGTTGCAACGGCAAAGATGGTAACTGCAATGCTGAAGCATTTATATGACCAAAAAGTTGCAGTTTACTTCCTCCACAACGAGAGTAGTGTGCGTGACACTTCTGATGACTGCTCAGGTTATTCATCATAATCCATATTTCTCGGCAAGTATTCTTTCCAAGTATAGTTTGGACATAAATATGATTGACGAGGCACATTTCATTATTTATATCAGTCGATAAGGACTTTCGTTTGTAAGCTTTTTCTTTGAGTCTGCGCAGTCATTTAACGCACGGAGATGAAAACCTATCTGCGCGAATGAAAATGGTTTCCAAACGTTCGACTAGTTGGTTAAATGATCACAGTACTTCGATACATCAGAGCTGTAAAATATATTGAAGTCTGTGGAGGCAACCTTTTCGAGTAGTAGCTCAATGTTTCAGGGAAGACATTGTCTTCGCGTTGTGATCTTTCCAGCGAAGAACATTTTGTAATTCGCTTTGCCGTAGATTATGGGTGACAACTTTATAGTGACATGATCTGAGCTTCCAAATGGCGCCTTGATACAAACGGAAAATGCTTGAGTCCTTGACAAACACTAAGTCTAGGGTTACCTGGAACCTTATTGCAGACTGCATGAAGTTCTTCAATTCAAGATTGGTAATAAAACTAGTATCGAATCTATTGAAGTCACCGGCAAAAACACAGAGAAAAAGCTAGATGTTCAATGACGGTAGTTGTAAAATCGTCATAAAATTTTTCAGGTTCAACTATAGGGCAGCTGGGAGAAATATATATGTTGGCTAATAGAATCGAACGATAGCCACTCAAGTATCGAGGCCTGCATTTCACAATTAAACAGCTAATGCACTGCGCGTAATGATGAAAAATAATTTTCGTTGACTTACACCATGAAGGATTTATGTACGTGATAACGCCACCGCCACGGTGCCTTTGTGTACATGTGTGATCAACGCGATACACAGTAAATCCGTCAAGTGCTACCATTGTATCTTCTACGTCATCGTGCAGCCAAGGTTCCGGCAGCATAATGATACCAAGTTGGGAGTATTCGCGACACCTTGTTATGCTTTTAAGCTCTTCTACTTTGCTCACATGCAAACGGGGGTTTGCACTAATCAAAATAATTATACTCATACGGCTGGGATTTGTCCTTTGAAGTGCAACCGGCCATCCACCTGGTGTTTTTTCTTGTGGAACTACTTCGTTTTCTTTTGACTCCTTTCCATTTGTTCCGTACAGACTGACCAGGAAAATGTGTTAGGTTCTCGTTCGTTAAAACGCACGGACTTTTTAAAGTGTCGCGAGCGCAGGTACTCATGATGTCATGTGCGAAATGAAAAATTGATAAGTTAAAACAAAGGTGTAAAAATAGTGAACGTGATCGTGTGTGTTGATAAATCCGGTGGACAGGAATCACAAAGCACGGCCGAAGTTGAATGCCACGCCAAGGTTACTCTGATGTATGTGCAGCATGACGTACGTTGCATGCCTAATCAGATTAGTACCTGGTAGACGTTACCAAATTAATTACAGAGAAACCGCAAGAGATCTTTACCAACGGTACCTTGCGGAACCGAAGAATCGCAGGTTACGCCACGGGGATGCTACGCAAATTCCCTTTCCTTGATTGGTTATGTGAACGTAAGCGTTTGGCTATGGTAATCAGTTCAAGCTTTCGAATACCGCCCATCACGAAAGTAACCACAAAGTAGTCCACCTAACCTGCCCAGCGCTTAAACACGAGGCACAGTAGAAAGCTAAGTGATCTAACAATCTGTGACTTTTACCGGGTAATCGACAAATGATAATTTCGAATTCCAGGTGTAGTTGTAATTTGTAAAGTTTTCCTGGGGATGATGGGAAATTATCGTAATCTTCTCGCCAACGATGACAGAGGAATAGGGGTTTGTGGAAGGAACGAAGCAAAATAATGCATTGCATCGATAACCAAAATGTTATTGCGTATCGAAAAACATTAAGTTAGTCAGCCATCTCATGCAAACACAAATTCGAGAATAAACTATTTATTTAAGGCATATCTTGTTCGCTGAGCCTCGATCACCTAATGAGTGTAAATAGGACCGATCTAGTTCCGACACAGCACCTGAACTAGACACATCAGAGACATGACGAAAGATGAGTACGTGGGGGATGCAGCATATCGATTCTGATACCGCCAAAATAAGGCTGTACTCAGTGTTCTGTTAGTGGCAGAAACAAAATAGGGTGATCTGGGTCCCGAGAACTGACCGTTTTGGTGTTGCAAATATAAGGACATGGCCGCTAGTGAAACTTTCTTTGTATTAGCTGGACATGAGATGAGAACACGTTCGGAAAAATATTGCAACGCTTTCCAACCTAACCAACACAAGACTTGCAAGTTGGGTATAGAGCACAAACCAGATTAAGATGTTATTTCTAAACGAACCTTAGTTAACCACAGGTATAGGTTCGTGGATAGTGAGATCAGAGATGTAAGTGATATGCTGTGATCGCTCTACTCTTTGATGACTGGTGGTGTGTTGTCTCATACTTGACTTTCATCCCGAGGCGATACGGTAAGTGTAGCTTCCCCCGAGGCGAACGGCCAACAAGAGCCTACACTTTTATAAATAAATAAACAACTAAAAGTTTTATTCTCTACTACGCTAGGCACGCCTGCACAGACATGATCATGATATGGTCACCTCGAGTACCGACACAAAAACAGCTGATAGTTACCGATATCGCTGCGGTGCACGGACTTCTAAATAACGTTGCACACACAAAATTAGTTTTGTCATGAAGCGAGCTAGGTCTGATAGCCACCATCCATTTGTCTGGTAAACGTGCTTTCCCGATTCAACAGCGCTGGCTAGAGAGTCGGCACCAGCCCGCATAAGTCCGCTGCTCGTTTAATTCAACATCGCTTCAGAAGGCTTCGTATTTAAAGACTGAGCACTGATACGATTGGAGGGATGTCACACTGATTCGTTCATTTTCGAGTGAAGCACGTTGAGTTTGAGCCGGTGCCAAAGCCTTCCTGATTCCCTTTCTGGAGCTGC